AAGGCGATGGGTCATATTTTGCCCAAACCCCCCCCTGCAGTTTTCAAAATATCTGAAATGTCGGAAATTTGACTCCTGAGCATGATTTTTGAGCCGAATTCTGACTCTCTGCACCTATTTTCAGTTTCAAATTACAACGTTTCATGCCGAAAATATGCCAATTACTGAAAACGGCGATGGGTCATATTTTGTCCAAACCCCCTGCAGTTTTTAAAATGTCTGAAATGTCGGAAATTTGACTCCTGAGCATGATTTTTGAGCCGAATTCTGACTCTCTGCACCTATTTTCAGTTTCAAATTACGACTTTTTATACCGAAAATATGCCAATTACTGAACACGGCGATGGGTCATATTTTGCCCAAACCCCCCTGCAGTTTTCAAAATATCCCAAACAAGCCAAATTCGATACCTGAGCCATATTTTGGACCCAAATTCTGGCTCTCTGCACCTATTCGCAATTTGAAATTCCGACTTTTTATACCAAAAATATGCCAATTACTGAAAGCGGCGGTGTGTCGCATTTTGCCCAAACCCCCCTGCAGTTTTCAAAATATCCCAAACATCACAAATTCGATACCTGAGCCATATTTTGGACCCAAATTCTGGCTCTCTGCACCTATTCGCAGTTTGAAATTCCGACTTTTTATACCAAAAATATGCCAATTACTGAAAGCGGCATACCAAAAATATGCCAATTACTGAAAGCGGCGGTGGGTCACATTTTGCCCAAACCCCCCTGCAGTTTTCAAAATATCCCAAACATCCCAAATTCGATACCTGAGCTATATTTTGAACCCAAATTCTGGCTCTCTGCACCTATTCGCAGTTTGAAATTCCGACTTTTTATACCAAAAATATGCCAATTACTGAGAGCGTCGGTGGGTCACATTTTGCCCAAACCCCCCTGCAGTTTTCAAAACATCCCAAACAACCCAAATTCGATACCTGAGCCTAATTTTTAGACCCAAATTTTGGCTCTCTGCACCTATTCACAGTTTGAAATTCCGAATTTTTATACAAAAATATGCCAATTACTGAAAGCGGCAGTGGGTCACATTTTGCCCAAACCCCCCTGCAATTTTCAAAATATCCCAAACATCCCAAATTCGATACCTGAGCCATATTTTGGACCCAAATTCTGGCTCTCTGCACCTATTCGCAGTTTGAAATTCCGACTTTTTATACCAAAAATATGCCAATTACTGAGAACAGCGGTGGGTCACATTTTGCCCAAACACCCCTGTAATTTTCAAAATATCCCAAACATCCCAAATTCGATACCTGAGTCATATTTTGGACCAAAATTATGGCTCTCTGCATCTATTCGCAGTTTGAAATTCCGACTTTTTATATTAAAAATATGCCAATTACTGAAAGCAGCGGTGGGTCACATTTTGCCCAAACCCCCCCTGCAGTTTTCAAAATAACCCAAACATCCCAAAATCGGTACCTGAGCCTAATTTTTGGACCCAAATTCTGGCTCTCTGCACCTATTCGCAGTTTGAAATTCCGACTTTTTATACCAAAAATATGCCAATTACTGAAAGCGGCAGTGGGTCACATTTTGCCCAAACCCCCCTGCAGTTTTCAAAATATCCCAAACATCCCAAATTCGATACCTGAGCCATATTTTGGACCCAAATTCTGGCTCTCTGCACCTATTCGCTGTTTGAAATTCTGACTTTTTATACCAAAAATATGCCAATTACTGAAAGCGGCGGTGGGTCACATTTTGCCCAAACACCCCTGTAATTTTCAAAATATCCCAAACATCCCAAATTCGATACCTGAGTCATATTTTGGACCAAAATTGTGGCTCTCTGCATCTATTCGCAGTTTGAAATTCCGACTTTTTATATTAAAAATATGCCAATTACTGAAAGCAGCGGTGGGTCACATTTTGCCCAAACCCCCCTGCAGTTTTCAAAATATCCCAAACATCCCAAAATCGGTACCTGAGCCTAATTTTTGGACCCAAATTCTGGCTCTCTGCACCTATTCGCAGTTTGAAATTCCGACTTTTTATACCAAAAATATGCCAATTACTGAAAGCGGCAGTGAGTCATATTTTGTCCAAACCCTCTTGCAGTTTTCAAAATGTCCCAAACATCCCAAATTCGATACATGAGCCATATTTTGGACCCAAATTCTGGCTCTCTGCAACTTTTCGAAGTTTGAAATTCCGACTTTTTATACAAAAAATCTGCCAATTACTGAAAGCGGCAGTGGGTCACATTTTGCCCAAACCCTCCTGCAGTTTTCAAAATATCCCAAACATCCCAAATTCCCTTCCCTTCACCAAGGCCTCTCCATCCTCTTTACCCCCCCCCCCCACCTTCCACAACCATACACCATACATTTCCCCTACCAACTATACACCCAATCTTCACTTTCCATGGCCTCCGTCTAATATTCTCACAGTAGATTGCCAGTTTCGCCAATAACCTGCATGAAAATTTGACTTTCAACGTCCCAACCCCCTTCCCTAAGCCCCCATGTGTCCTCCCCCCCTTTCCTCTATCACCCCTCCCCACCCTCTACCCCCCACCCCATCCCCGGTCATCTTGGTTCGTGGTCAAACCGTTCCTTGTGACAAGCTTCGCTTTTATTCTTAAATTTCAGATCAATACTATTTCTCTCTGCTCAAGTTTTCGAGTCAATCACTCCACCTGTGTTCATAGGGATACAGCTCCCACTGTATATTTGGTTACAGTGAACCTCTCTAAAGTCGCCCCAGTGGCATTCTTACTTTTATCTGTAACCATCAGCTTCCACGCTCAAAAATGGGATGTTAAAAAAAAAGGGTTTTCCTTTTTCCTTTAACCAGGAATTTGACCGCGCGGGCCCACAATTCCCAGCTCTCCAGCCTACGTTTTTTTAACAAACCTGTGTTGGCTGAACGAGGGGGAACTATGGTGTCTTTATCGTGTGTGTGTGTGTGTGTGTGTGTGTGTGTGTGTGTGTGTGTGTGTGTGTGTGTGTGTGTGTGTGTGTGTGTGTGTGTGTGTGTGTGTGTGTGTGTGTGTGTGTGTGTGTGTGTGTGTGTGTGTGTGTGTGTGTGTGTGTGTGTGTGTGTGTGTGTGTGTGTGTGTGTGTGTGTGTGTGTGTGTGTGTGTGTGTGTGTGTGTGTGTGTGTGTGTGTGTGTGCTCGCTCTATGGTGCTTGCGGGGGTTGAGCATGGGCTCTTTCGTCCCGCCTGTCAATCAATTGGTTGACAGTTGAGAAGAGGGTTGATTGACAGGTTCCTGAGCCTTCTGGTCTCTGTCATATTTATATCAGAAACTGTGTATGGAGTCAGCCTCCACCACATCACTGCCTAGTGCATTCCATTTTTTAACTACTCTGACGCTGAAAAAAAATCTTTCTAATGTCTCTATGGTTCATTTGGGTACTCAGTTTCCACCTGTGTCCCCTTGTGCGAGTACCATTCTTCTTAAATAAGGTCTCTGCCTACTCTGTTAATTCCAGTGAGGATTTTATATGTAGTAATCATTTCTCCAGTATCTCTTCTGTCTTCCAGCGACGTGAGGTGCAATTCACGCAGCCTTTACTCATAGCTCATACCTTTTAGTTCTGGAACCAGTCTGGTGGCATAACTTTGAACCTTCTCCCAGCTTGGTCTTACGCTTGACAAGGTATGGACTCCATACTGGAGCCGCATATTCCACGATTGGTCTGACATATGTGGTATACAAGCTTCTAAATTATTCTTGACACAAATATTCCTTACACAAGTGTCCGTCCACCTGTCGGTGTGTTCCATTCTGAGTGATAGCATGAAACGCAATTCAGAGTAGGTAACAGTAGCTCAAGCTTTGAGTGGGTTTGGTAACACCTCCCAGTGTTAGCACCACCACGGAACACCTGGTTACACCTCCCAGTGTTAGCACCACCACGGAACACCTGGTTACACCTCCCAGTGTTAGCACCACCACGGAACACCTGGTTACACCTCCCAGTGTTAGCACCACCACGGAACACCTGGTTACACCTCCCAGTGTTAGCACCACCACGGAACACCTGGTTACACCTCCCAGTGTTAGCACCACCACGGAACACCTGGTTACACCTCCCAGTGTTAGCACCACCACGGAACACCTGGTTACACCTCCCAGTGTTAGCACCACCACGGAACACCTGGTTACACCTCCCAGTGTTAGCACCACCACGGAACACCTGGTTACTCCTCCCAGTCTTAGCACCACCACGGAACACCTGGTTACACCTCCCAGTGTTAGCACCACCACGGAACACCTGGTTACACCTCCCAGTGTTAGCACCACCACGGAACACCTGGTTACACCTCCCAGTGTTAGCACCACCACGGAACACCTGGTTACACCTCCCAGTGTTAGCACCACCACGGAACACCTGGTTACACCTCCCAGTGTTAGCACCACCACGGAACACCTGGTTACTCCTCCCAGTGTTAGCACCACCACGGAACACCTGGTTACACCTCCCAGTGTTAGCACCACCACGGAACACCTGGTTACACCTCCCAGTGTTAGCACCACCACGGAACACCTGGTTACACCTCCCAGTGTTAGCACCACCACGGAACACCTGGTTACACCTCCCAGTGTTAGCACCACCACGGAACACCTGGTTACACCTCCCAGTGTTAGCACCACCACGGAACACCTGGTTACACCTCCCAGTGTTAGCACCACCACGGAACACCTGGTTACACCTCCCAGTGTTAGCACCACCACGGAACACCTGGTTACACCTCCCAGTGTTAGCACCACCACGGAACACCTGGTTACACCTCCCAGTGTTAGCACCACCACGGAACACCTGGTTACACCTCCCAGTGTTAGCACCACCACGGAACACCTGGTTACACCTCCCAGTGTTAGCACCACCACGGAACACCTGGTTACACCTCCCAGTGTTAGCACCACCACGGAACACCTGGTTACACCTCCCAGTGTTAGCACCACCACGGAACACCTGGTTACACCTCCCAGTGTTAGCACCACCACGGAACACCAAGTTAAGACCACGGTAATGAAATGAGGCACAAGTTAAGGGTAGTAAAAGTCGTAATGTTGGTCACCTGTAGCTGCTTTGTATCCAGCTCGACTGTATCCAGCTTGACTGTATCCAGCTTGACTGTATCCAGCTCGACTGTATCCAGCTTGACTGTATCCAGCTTGACTGTATCCAGCTTGACTGTATCCAGCTTGACTGTATCCAGCTTGACTGTATCCAGCTTGCCTGTATCCAGCTTGCCTGTATCCAGCTTGACTGTATCCAGCTTGACTGTATCCAGCTTGACTGTATCCAGCTTGACTGTATCCAGCTTGCCTGTATCCAGCTTGACTGTATCCAGCTTGCCTGTATCCAGCTTGACTGTATCCAGCTTGACTGTATCCAGCTTGACTGTATCCAGCTTGACTGTATCCAGCTTGACTGTATCCAGCTTGACTGTACCAGCTTGTGTATCCAGCTTGACTGTATCCAGCTTGCCTGTATCCAGCTTGACTGTATCCAGCTTGCCTGTATCCAGCTTGACTGTATCCAGCTTGCCTGTATCCAGCTTGACTGTATCTGTATCCAGCTTGACTGTATCCAGCTTGCCTGTATCCAGCTTGACTGTATCCAGCTTGCCTGTATCCAGCTTGCCTGTATCCAGCTGCCTGTATCCAGCTTGCCTGTACTGTATCCAGCTTGCCTGTATCCAGCTTGATCCAGTATCCAGCTTGTATCCAGCTTGCCTGTATCCAGCTTGCCTGTATCCAGCTGTGACTGTATCCAGCTTGACTGTATCCAGCTTGCCTGTATCCAGCTTGCCTGTATCCAGCTTGACTGTATCCAGCTCGACTGTATCCAGCTTGCCTGTATCCAGCTTGCCTGTATCCAGCTTGACTGTATCCAGCTTGCCTGTATCCAGCTTGACTGTATCCAGCTTGACTGTATCCAGCTTGACTGTATCCAGCTTGACTGTATCCAGCTTGACTGTAACCAATAAACCACAGTAACGTACTGAATTTCAAAGACAATTTTGTGATAATGAAGTGGGATCGAACTCTCGTCTGTGGCCTCCCAGCCCATCATGGTGCAGTGGGTAGTGTGCATCTCAGAGGGGGCCGGAGTCCCCAAGATAATCCCAAGCAAAGCGATGATATTGTCTCTTAAATAATTTATTGACTTAAAAAAAAAATCAGCCGTAAATGAACTCAAGCAACCGTTTATTTCTTACGAAAGTTAAGACTTTTAACAGCTCATTAAAAAGATCAATTATAAATGTTTTTTGACTTACAACCTTTAATTAGCATGTGGTAAAGACCACCCAAACTTTTCAAAACAATTAACTTTTTTGATATAAAAAGAGTATAAAAGTCCTTTTAAAAATTGTATTTTTTTTCCGCGAATGTGTGTAAATGTAACAAATTTGCTTTTGTAACTTAATACTGAGAGTTGACCTGATATTGTAATAGAGAACATAAGGCTCATTGTCACGCCTACACCAGCCGCGTTGCAACGATTGAATCAACCTTTGCAACATATCACCCGCTTAATTAATTTCGCATAATTAAGAGGTCAATCACCCTTAATTATCCACGGCCTTATTCAAGCCCGTGGTGGTCCAACTTGAACCACGACCCGGCCTCAGGCTCGTCTAGCCTGAGGCCATCCCTACATACTCTCCCTACGTGCTGGAAACTCTTACGTCAAGCAAAACCGACACACTAACCTAACCTAACCTACGGGCTAACTATACACCAAAATATATTCATTTACATCTAAAAGAAAGTATAGTTTTGGTAGTAACACAGACAGGGAGCCAAATTACGAATTGGCCGCCGCTTGAACGAGCTCAGAACGAGTCGTTGTAAATACTTTTAATTGTAGAAATTGTAAACCATTCAGAATAAATAATTAATGCAGAAAAACGCTAAAAATTCACAGAAATTCAAACTGATATATCACGTGTGTCTTACTTATACACCGTCATACACCGTCATACATCGCAGTTCATACAGGAGAGAGAAGCTTACTCATCCGTCAATCTTAAATTACAACGATGCAACTCCTGTGTATGAACTCATACGATTCCTGGTGCAATCCTCATACACACAGCCCGTCCTCATACACACAGCCCGTCCTCATACACACAGCCCGTCCTCATACACACAGCCCGTCCTCATACACACAGCCCGTCCTCATACACGCAGCCCGTCCTCATACACACAGCCCGTCCTCATACACACAGCCCGTCCTCATACACGCAGCCCGTCCTCATACACGCAGCCCGTCCTCATACACGCAGCCCGTCCTCATACACACAACCCGTCCTCATACACACAGCCCGTCCTCATACACACAGCCCGTCCTCATACACACAGCCCGTCCTCATACACACAGCCCGTCCTCATACACACAGCCCGTCCTCATACACACAGCCCGTCCTCATACACACAGCCCGTCCTCATACACACAGCCCGTCCTCATCAACACAGTCCGTCCTCATACACACAGCCCGTCCTCATACACACAGCCCGTCCTCATACACACAGCCCGTCCTCATACACACAGCCCGTCCTCATACACACAGCCCGTCCTCATACACACAGCCCATCCTCATACACACAGCCCGTCCTCATACACACAGCCCATCCTCATACACACAGCCCGTCCTCATAAACAAATGCCAAAGTCCATTCCATCCACCCGCCAAACACTCCAGGTGTTTATGAATGAAAAACAGTTTACACACGACTCACGACTGATGACGTTCGAACACTTCCGGAACAAGTGCTTCACTGACGACTGGTGTTCGAGCCACAACGCTGTAAATGCTTCACCCACGTACTACAAATACAAATAATCGCCAACAGAACCTGAACACCTAACCTGCTAACCAATGCCTTATTATGCACAATATGTTAATATATAGCAGTATTCATTTATATTTGAGAAAATTCCTCATAAATTCCCCCGCACTCAAGAAATACTCACTCAATCGCACTCAAGAAACACCAGTGTATCATTGTCCTACCGCTTAAAACTCGCAAAGAAACAAGTACAAAATCTCATGCGAGAGAGAGAGAGAGAGAGAGAGAGAGAGAGAGAGAGAGAGAGAGAGAGAGAGAGAGAGAGAGAGAGAGAGAGAGAGAGAGAGAGAGAGAGAGAGAGAGAGAGAGAGAGAGAGAGAGGGAGGGGGGAGGAGTCCTCTGTTTTCCTAGAAGTATCCAGAGAAGAAAATCTCCCGTAGGAATTCCAGGAAACCAAATGAGCAGCGGTGATCTCTCTCTGCTACGCATCCCATTTTCTCCCGACGTTCACGTGCTTGCGGTTAACGCGTCGTGCGCTCATGGGTTCCGAGAAGCCTGGCCTGGGGAGCCTAATTTCCCTGCCACGTTCCCTCGATCCGTCGCTCCGAATTATTTTCCTCACCCAGACACGCATCAACCCCCATGCTCCTCGCCAGGGGCCAGATTCACGAAAGCACTTACGCCAGCACTTACGAACGTGTACATCTCTCCTCAATCTTTGACGGCTTTGGTTTCATTTATTAAACAGTTTACCAGCATGAAAACTTGCCAATCAACTGTTGTTATTGTTACAAACAGCCTCCTGGTGCTTCGGAGCTCATTAACTGTTTAATAATTGTAAACAAAGACGCCAAAGATTGAGAAAAGATGAACAGGTTCGTAAGTGCTTGCGTAAGTGCTTTCGTGAATCTGGCCCCTGATCTATTGAGGCACGAAAAACGTTAGTATTACGGTGGTTTTATTTGGTCTAACAGGTCGGCTTTTTAACGGAATCGATCAATTAATCGAAAGGACTGGCTGACATAAGCGATAGACCTGTCTTAGACAATCCAAATGACGTTCACAGGTTAGTTCAGTTTGTTCACTAAACAAGCTGGTGGCTTGTTTAGTGAAATCACTTACTCCAAATGAAAATGACGGTGTTCACTGTAGCTGCCACTGGAGGCCTGGTCGGGGACCGGGCCGCAGGGACATTGAGCCCCGAAATCATGGCACGATAACCATCATATACCATCGTTCATATACAACTGTTTGACTTATTCCCCTGAGCACCTTGGCTCATAAGTTTTTTTTTTTTAAGTTGTTTTTTCTACCACAGAAGTGGCCAGACATTTACAATGCTAACCAGCATATATACATTTTCTTCTGTCCTCCATGGACAGGGTTAGAGAAGTGTTAAATATATAGTTCAAGGGCTCATCCAGTGACCAGCTACTACTGGCCGAGGTCAAACTTGGCCTTCCATTCTCCTGGGCTGTGGAAGACTCGAACAGCGAACCCTACGTCGGGGGAACATAAGAACAAAGGTAACTGCAGAAGGCCTGTTGCCCCATACGAGGCAGCTCCTATTTATAACCACCCAATCCCACTCATATACATGTCCAACCCGCGCTTGAAACAATCGAGGGACCCCGCCTCCACCACGTTACGCGGTAATTGGTTCCACAAATCAAGAACCCTGTTACCGAACCAGTATTTGCCAAAGTCTTTCCTAAATCTAAACTTATCCAATTTATACCCATTGTTTCGTGTTCTGTCTTGTGTTGATACTTTTAATACCCTATTAATATCCCAATTGAAGCCGAAGCAATATCCACCGAGCCTTATCAAACCTGGCTGTCTCCTATTGGTCACTTTAATTTCAAAGACATTCAAGATATACACTAAACCGTTACTTTTAGCACTTGTGCAATGTCCCAGCATAATTACACACGGACACCACAATAGCCTGATGCATCAAATGAACAAATCCACAAGGGCCGTGACCTGGGTTCGAACCTACGTCTGAGAGGATCCCAGACGCTGCCTTAATCGACTGAGCTACGACATGGTCAAAAGAATTGCAACCAGAAGTTCTACTGAACTTACTAGGATCCTACAGCCTCTCCGAGACACAAACCAGGCCTGAGTCGATTAAGGCAGCGTCTGGGATCCTTTCGGACGTAGGTTCGAACCCACGTCACGGCCCTTGTGGATTTGTTCTTCCAGAATAATGTATATTGTTCGCTGACTTTGCCAGACGACCCCTGAATGCATACTAATGTAGACATACTAATGTATGCATACTAATGCATACGACTGCATATAATTAAGATTCCCCTAAGGTAAAATTAACTGCATTGCTGTCTGGTAAGCTGATATTGCTGACAATAATCCAGCAATGCTACGACAACTTATGATTTTGTGATGACAAGACTGTATAAGAGTTGCTTAAGGGGTCGAGAGGCGGGACCCAAGAGTCGTAGATCAACCCCATGCATATATAACTGGCTGAGTACAACTAGGTGAGTACTTTCATAATGTATAGCTAGTGTAATCCCACCACACACTGTGTCACCACACACTGTGTCACCACACACTGTGTCACCACACACCCCACACACTGTGTCACCACACACTGTGTCACCACACACTGTGTCACCACACACTGTGTCACCACACACTGTGTCACCACACACCCCACACACTGTGTCACCACACACTGTGTCACCACACACTGTGTCACCACACACTGTGTCACCACACACCCCACACACTGTGTCACCACACACTGTGTCACCACACACTGTGTCACCACACACCCCCACACACTGTGTCACCACACACCCCACACACTGTGTCACCACACACTGTGTCACCACACACCCCACACACTGTGTCACCACACACCCCCACACACTGTGTCACCACACACCCCCACACACTGTGTCACCACACACACCCACACACTGTGTCACCACACACTGTGTCACCACACACTGTGTCACCACACACACCCACACTGTGTCACCACACACACCCACACACTGTGTCACCACACACACCCACACACTGTGTCACCACACACACCCACACACTGTGTCACCACACACACCCACACACTGTGTCACCACACACACCCACACACTGTGTCACCACACACCCACACACTGTGTCACCACACACCCCCACACACTGTGT